TTTTCTCAATCAAATATCTTTCTTGAGGAAAAAAAACGTCGGATATACGAGGGATATCCGGTAAGTAAGGTTGCAACATTTTTAAAAAATTTAAAAAGGCATATATTTTAACGAACTTACAGGTGTTGTTAATATAGTTGCGCACTATTTTTCAACATAGTCGCCTTCAACTTCAATGCATTTTGTCAGCCGTAAGACGAGTTCTTTTATGCTAGCATCATAAAACTCTCGCGCCAACTTTATATCACTAACGATTTCATGAACAACAATACGTGAAATTTCAGGACACATTTCATGGAGGTCGTCAAATTGTCGGACGGCGATCGGAAAGAGGGTGTTCTCCAATTTTGTGCGCAATTTCCAGGAATTTCAACGATGGAAGGACGGACGTTCACGATGAAGAGAGAAGTGGACGGCCGTTTGTTGTGTCCGATAAAATTGTGTACAAAATTGAAAGAACACCTTCTTTCCGATTGTCGTTCGACAATTGACGATCTCCATGAAACGTGTCCTAAAATTTCACGTACTGTTGTTCATGCAATCGTAAGTGATATGAAGTTGGCGCGAGAGCTTTGATACTGGCATAAAAAAATTCGTCCCACGGCTGACAAAATGTACAATTACATTAACAACATCTGTAAAATTCATTAAAATATATTCCCATTTGAATTTTAAAAAAATGTTGCAACGTTACTTACCGGATATCCCTCGTACCTACATAATTGTTGTAAGACAGAGAATAGTGCAGATAATTACGTAATACGGCGACATTCTCCAAAGTATGCGTTACGAAATCCGGAGTAATTATTTAACATCCGTCATACGATCGCCGGGAGAGCAGTATCGGTTACGTCGCATCGGGGCGCATCGACGTGTCGCGTTCACCACAAATTACTTTCATCATCACCGCGGTTAGTGATGATCGCCACCTTTCCCGGGTCGTCGTTTGCCAGCGCGGGGCTGGCCCGTGCGTGCGCTATATACGCGTACACGTGAGAATATTGATTCCGCCGCGTCAGCTGCTTGCTTTGCCCGCTCGCCCGCTCGCTTGCTTGCGCTCGTCGTGGCTCGGTTAGTCTGCCGCATTCTAACCCACATTCACGTGCACACCGCCACGCGGCCGCGCACAAGTTACCGACTAGGATATCCCCATTCCGAGCGCCCGGTGCTTTCCACTGTATCGGATTTGTCGGATAAGCGACGGATATCGATGCCCCCGAGCGGAATTGCAGCTTGAGCATCCGTAATCGCGACTCCGAGCCTCTCTCGGCCCCCGTTAACTTCTCCGCCATCGAGGGAAATTGTAAAACCGCCGCGGAAATGTTTCTCATTACGTTTCAATTCCAAGTTAAATATCTCCTTCTCTCCCTCTCTCTTTTTAATTTTGCCCGTAATTAGATTGAACGGCGCCAAGAAATTGCGTTAGGACGCAATAGAAATGTTCAATCTACTCAAACAGGCAGAAAAATGAATAATCTGAAATGTTCGTACGAATTACATTGCTTCAAACGACTTAGGAAAGCGGGGTTTTTTTTAAACTAAGCTAAAGGTCTGTGTCCACGTTGCTAGAACTTGGTCCAAGTTCTAATTTTAAAGCTATTCCGTAAAAGCTGCGAGTTGATTGGCTTTACATTTCTCGGAACTAACACGTGGACCAAGTTCTAGCATCGTGGGCACAGGCCTTAACTGTAAATGACACTGAAGTCACATGGTGTGCTGATGTCCAAAGATTTTGCCTTATGTTTTATTCGGTTTAAACGAGTTTCACTGCTGAAGAAGACCCGAAGAAGGGTCGAAACGTTTGTTTCTTATTAAAGAGAAATTCAGACTCTTTTGTGTGAGAACCGAGTTCTGTTCATTTTGTGGCTCTCATTGGCACTTTCCCCCTTTCTACGTACAGGCCTTAACGCTTGTCACGAGGAAAACCCGAAGACGAACATCAGGCACGGAATATCCCGACGCTCTATGCAACGAAATAGCGGATTGATAATGGGCTCAGGCATGAGTGCGTAATTGCGGAAGCGAGAAGATCGCTTCCGATACGCGACCCGATGGGAATCGTTTAATGCTTCCTTAACGGGAATCCCGCGGGCGGGGTCACGACCGCTATTCTTTATCCGCCATGCGCCATCCGGTCCTATAATGCAGGTCCTATCCGATAACGCGCGCGGCAAACTGCATTCAATAATGTCCACCGTCACGCGAGTGGTACAAGCAGCATTAATCCGGCTGATCCGTTTAAATAAGCCACATCCAAGCCTGATATGCGAATCCTTTGACCGTAAAACCTTTTGTTTGCTTACGATGACGAAGCGAGCTGTAGTCCACGTTCGGTAGCCGGGGATAATCGCCGACGGCGTCAACGTACTTCGGTTATGATTGTTAAACCACTCGCGTCCGATCCGATATTTACGATTCGCCCGAATCAAACTTGACAATTTGCACTTCCACGTGGGTGCAAATTTGCCCGCACGCTGCTCGGTGTTTGTCTCGTGATTTCACCGTGAGCGAACGTAATGGCGGGCTGAAATAATTAGGCGAAATATTTCTAACGACGACCGTTTAGACTATTAAAACCAGATTTCACCAGTTCGTTCAATTTAACCGCAGCTTAATGAGTGCCTGTCGTCTCTCTTTCTCTCGAATTCTAGTTTTAGAAAAAGGGCAAGTGGTCTACTAGATTCACGAAGTTGGTTGTTTTAAACGTTCAATTATCAATGTACCGATCTCTCGAGAATTGTTAAATGTGTTCGTCTCATAACAGTGTGGGCCATATTGGCCCTTTGTTAAATGAAACATGGGTACTGAGGGTAAACGAGAATCTTACGTTTCAATTTACGGGGGTGTCCCCGAGTGCTGGCTGCCATTCTTCGACCTACTTCTTCCAGCCCATCTTTCTTCGGTAAATATTTGATTGACCTATCTCGTTAAATTCCAACGTTGAATTATCTTTGTCAAGCAAATCTCAAATTAAGGGCCCGCCCGTGTAAAATTGAGTAAACGATAAAAATCCTAAAACTATTTGTTCCGCTTCGAAATCCACGTATACATTTCTGCAATCTTGAATTTTTTTTTACGGCCGGTAAATTAGAAACCATGTGAACTCCACCGCCGCTTCGTTAAGGAAAATTCTATTCCACGCTATGCGAAGAATATTTTTGCATAAAGAAAGATCGATCATAGCGGCGCGGAACACCCCGCCGTGTCGAGGCAAGTAAAAAGTTAATGCACGTGCTGCGAGCGCTATTCAGGATTATTCAGGAAACATTGGCGCAAAAGCGTGAAACCCGACTCCTTTGTTTCTGGGCACGCTCGGCGATCTCGAACGGATGCATTGACCCGCTCAAAAGTACCGTTCTCTAATTGCGGTGAACGCGGACCGTGAAAAGTAACAAACACAAGGTAGAATCGAAATTGATAGTTTCGGCCCGCGGGACGAAGGGTGAGAAAAAGTGCCGGGATGAAAGTCGCTTTTTTTTGGAGGTTTAACCTCGAGAGATCGTAGCAAAAGCGGGTAATGTGTCGCAATTAGAGTGCGATCTCGTCGAGTTTGCCTTCTCTCGGATTTCCAGATGTTTAGGTAAAATCGCGCAAAAAGCATTATCGATTTGTAAAGTTTAAATGAGAAATATGTTCGCAATTGTTCTCATACGTCGAAATTGAACCAGCGTTCGCGATATTTAATTCTTCTCTGTTGTTCGCGAATATTTTCTCTGCCGTTGCTGTGTTTGTACAAATGTAAATTTCTAATTGACAGAGATAAAAAAAAAGCCGATACACTTTATTTATCTTAGAGGATAAAATAACTGAAATGATGTTTCGTTTTATGTTCGGGCTTCAAGGGGTTGATATCGCCGCGAGAGAGGGCTAATCACACAACTATCGTCGAGAGGACACGACCAGGCGTGCGGTCGAAGGATTACGTAAGTTTACATAATTCAGCCAGACGTGACTATCACTCGTGGCTCTACTCGATCACATTCTCAGAGCAAATTGCAGGCTCCGACGCATGCAATAGCTCAAAATGCGCCAGGATAGATCCGCCGCGGTCCATTTATCATGAAAAGAATTAGACGCGAAAATGGAGTAGATTGGGGAATGGATAAAAACAGATAATTTCGACGTTTGGAGAGAGGAATATAGAGATAGCAACGGAAACAATAACGTGCGACTTACGCGGAGATAAAAGCTCGCTAAATGATTTAGTGCCGGGGAAAGTAATCAGCAGGCACAATTTCGTGAATTCCAAGAAAAGAAAAGCAGCCAATTTCTCACATAATAAAAAAATCATTAATATAAAGAACGGACTAAACTACTGTTCGTGTTTCTTCTTTTTCTCTTTCATCTTCTTCTTCTTCCCTTCCTTTCAGTACCGTATAAAGTATCACAATGCGGTCGCCGGACCTCACGTTATGTACTTTCGCGAAATCTTTTGTTCCTCAAAAGGGAGAAAATGTAACTTCGGCGCAAATGGCACTACATTATCCACGCCGCTCTTTATCCTCATTCGATGTGACGCAAAGTTACCCGTGCTCTATTGTAGCTTAATACTATCCTACACATTTGTATCTCTCGTAAAAAGTTTGCGTGGCGGACTTATCGCTTTCGTGCACTAGACCCTTCGTTCCGTTCGCGTTACCCGCTTCCCTGCCAATCGCCATCGGAGACTAATCGCTGCTGCACGTTACCGAATAGAAAATCGCTGTGCGACCGACCGTAAAATGTTAAGGGATTGCCATTAATGTGATGTAAGACGCTCCATTGCGCGTTGTAAAACGCGCGGATGGTTTCAAGTTTTTGTGTCGCGTTCACGTAATCGAATCTTCTCAACTATGAAAGAGCCGACATAACAACAACTTGAAGAATAGTGTTCTAAAAACGTTCGGCTCTTAAACACATTTCTACAATACCTTCTAATTTAACATAAAATTAAAACCAGCGTTTGCCTTCTTTGGCGTAAAGATCGTTCAAGCGACAAATCGTTTAAATGCGTTATTTACCCATTTCGTGGTCGAGTTTTTCCGGCATCAGAGCATACTGACCTGCAACACAAAGAACGATAGATATGTCAAAACGTGTTGGGTTAATCCAGAGATAAGTGAACCTACGATTTCAGAGTAGCTTTATCGACGGAACAAAGAGCTCGATATGAAGATATGATTTTGTACAAATGTGGCGATGTAATTTTCCGTCGCAATCTACGATCGAAGATGTGAATTGTATTGCTCAGAATGAGGCGATAAGCGAATCTGCGATTGCAGATATGCTTTATCGCCGGGACGAGCTCGATACGAAGATATCGCTTGCAAAAATGTGTGACAATATTTCCTGTCTACGATCAGAGACGCGAATCACGTTACTCATTCAGGATAACGTAAAATAATGCAACGTTAATGCACACGAGCGAGATATTTTAATTAAAAAATGTTTGATGTAAAATAAAATTCTGGCTAAATTATTGATGCACATTTTGTTATTTTCTGTCTACTCAACATAAAGAAACTACACGGAGAGAATGTTCTCTTAAATTTTCCTTGAAAATCGTGTAATCGTGGGATAACATGGCATTTTGAAGAACCTTATGAGAGTTTTTAGAAATTTTACCATATATGTTACTAGTAAAATATATGGTAAAATTTCAAAAACTTCTCATAAGGTTCCTTGAAATACCGTGTTGTTCCATGATTGCATAATTTTCAGGATAAATTTTAAGAGAAAATTCTCTCCGTGTACTATCTCTTGAAATGTTTGAGAAAAGTTAGAAATTAATTGTACTTTAGAAAATATCAATCAGAAATTGTATTTTTCAAATACTATCGTAATATCTATTATTCTATCATTAAAAACCGACCTGACTTTTCAAAGAATTTTAAAATTATCAACTCCAATTTTCCAGACTTATTTCATAGATGACATTATAACAAATTACAGTTGCGCAAATGTAAATTGGATATTTGCTCGCAGTTAATAATTATATGAAATTGGTTAACGGAACCGATAATGTCGATAGCACAAGTCATCATGGTAATAGCCATTAATACGACAGAGGATGATGGTAACTGAGTCAATGGAATAATATTCCCTTGAACGTACCAAGTCGCCATCGAGTGAAAGGTAGGTTCGTCGAGAATAACAGGATTCAAAGCGTTTAGCGAAATACGTGTACAAGTTGTATAAATAAACGTCCGGGAGTGGATGAATCATGGTAGAAAAATCTTTAAAAAAAAAATTCCTCGCATATTCGGAATCGGCCTCCACGTTTCTATCGCTGGGCAATCTGCGCACGAAAAATTCGAAACAAATCCCAAGTCCTTTTTTGCGTAATTCTAACTCTTTCAACCACGGAATTTACCAACTAGAAAGATTCAGAAGAAAAATCGGCACAAGTCGCAATTTACATTCAATCTACTAAATTTCAATAATTCGTATTTCAGCGGCGTCAAATTAAAATATTTTTCAAACAAAATTCAAGATAGCGACATGAATAACATTTCATTATCCATTTAGATTCGCAGAGCTCAATTCGCATGTCTGAGCTGCAGCTTTTTTGAACTTTGATTCGAGAGATATTTTATTAAAGGCGACTTGCGTCGAAACTTGACGGAAATAACGCCGCGCGACCACCCTCCGTCAGTTCTGGGACAACCAGTAGAACGGTAGCCGGTTATTGTCAAGCGTAGCTTCTTTCCCATTGCTGCCCGTGGGAATTAAGCGCACCGGTCCGTCAGACAACCGCTACGAACCACCGAGGACTACCGCGAAGCGCTGTTTGTTCCTGAAGGCGGTAGTATTACCGTGTGCCGAGCGAAGAATATAACGTGTTTCTTTCAGCTAGTCACGATATAACGCGGTTGTAACATGCGATAAGTATGCATGGTCCTCGTACACGGAATCGTGTCTATTACAATGTACAGCGGCGGGTGAACCGGATCTAAAGTTAAAATTCTTCGCGCTCATTGACTCACTCGCATTCGCTTCGCGTTCGGTTGGTCTGTTAATTATCCTAATTTCCAGCCGGGAAACAAATTTATCCATTAACGCGCTATAGATTTCTCTTTGTCTTTTTATCTTTTTTTTTGGACGCGTATCTGTAACTTTGATTCGCTTTCTAAGTTCGCTCGCCGAAACATGCTGTAAGATTCAGTTCCTGAAATAATTCAGCAGACTTGAAAGTCGAACAAGCAACGCTATTGTACAGCTGAGATAAGGTGTAGTTGAACTTTTGAACTGCTCTTGGGCTCTTTATCAAAATCCTTATCAAATAACTCTATTTGATCCGTGATAAGTTTAAGGTATCGAAATAATTTATTCGTTTTAAGAGATTGTGTAAAATTCCTCGGAATAAAATATGGTATATGAATTTCAATTAAGATATTTTTATTATATTATGCACACAGACATAAAAGAGTGTATTATCCTAGAAATAAATTTCTCGGTTAAAATTTCTACGTTTTCTTTTTTTATTTCTATATCGAATATATTTATTTCTACTTCCCCCTACATGTGCCTACCTCTCGTCTCCGCATTTTACACATCTAAGATATCAAAAATTTGTCTATTACATCATTGCATGTAAAATTAAAAATCGCATAAAGCACAATATTATAATATCAAATTTATCGCCTTCTGCAACATTTGTGTTACATTCCATAGAGCAAAAACTCTAAATTTACCATCAAAATAGACCTCTTTCTTATTTTCTCTAATTTCATCCTGCATAATCTATGTAATCTCACATCGCCACATCCCAGGCATCGAGATGAACAATTATCTATTATATTCTCAGGGCAGTTCATGGCAACCGTGTATCCGAGTTGGAAGGTTTCGACCGGGGGATCGATGCTTCGAGACGTCGGGTCGCGCAGGAGCAGATCGAGACGCGAGTACATGCCCATGCGATCAGCTGTGCCGGATACCCGGTGGCCTCAACAAAGCGCTCCACGTGTGCATTCAACCCTTCTGAGTCATCCTACCCCCCTTTATGCCCCGCGGACCACTTCCCTCTCATTGTAGCGGCTCCTCTCCTCAACGTGTGACGCAAAGTGTCGCACTGGAGATACGCCGAGAGAGAAAGCAACAGGGAGAAACGGAGAGGGCCGTGCCGCAGAAAGAGAAGACGACGGAACGAGCCGACGGGGAGAGTCTTATTGATTTTTTCGAACATCTGATCGGCGAGACGGAGCAGACGAAAGATGGGGAGGAGATTGCTGAACAAGGATAGCGAGACGAGGCTGGAGGAGCGAGTAGGAGCAAGTCTTTGCGTCTTCTTCCATCCCTCTCCTGTTCGATGGCCTTCGGTGAAGTCTTCAGTGTCTTGTAACTGTGTTGCCACGGTAACAGCCTAGATTCCAGAGAAAAGTTGGAGAAGACGCGGAGCAGATGGATGAAGCTCAGAGAGAAGGAGAGGAAAAGAGAACGCGAAGAGGAAACAAGCGAGGAAGGAGCTCATGTTACGCGGCCGCGTCCCTTTGTTCCAGATTTCCGTGCCACTCGCGGTATTCGCAAGAATTAACACATCGCGGAGCACAGACATGCAAATGCGACGGCGCATTCAAAAGTTAGATGGGTAATTCGGTGAATACGTAGATGAGAGGGCACGAATATACAGTTGAAGTTCGACGTGATGTATAATTAACTGCTGTCGTTACCCGATCGAGACTAGTTGCTGAAACATTTCCCTCGATATTTTAGAGAAACGAGGGAAATTCTCGTATACGCTTTTTATCGAATGCAATATCAATTACACATCAAAGACACTTTTATTTCTCCCTTTCTCTCTCTAAAAAAAAATGGATTTTTATTAAATCTATTTTTTATTAAATCTAGATTTCGTCGAAAATCTAGCCCCAGGATTTTCCGGTAAGTAATGTGGACCTACCAATACTTGAAATGCTGTTCTTTCTCCCGATTTATGCCGCTAATTAGAACAAACAGCCCTCGGAAAATTGTTTAATTAACAGTATGTGTGCCTCTGTTTGTGCTTGCCAAATAAATGATCCACGTAACGTCTATCGGTCCCTCATTCCCTTCGTTGAACCGTATTTACCGAGAACCCGCGAAATGATGCAAGAGCACACGTAGGTTCACGTATCCCCACTGCGTGTGTGGAACCACTGAAGACCAAAAGTTCGGAGGAAGCGAAAGTATTACAGGGAAAAAACCGCGAAAGCTACTTTGCCACGGAGTCATCAACTCGTACTTCTTTCTTTCTTTTATCTGCAAGAAGTACATTGCGGCAACTCTTTTATTCGTCCTCATAATACACCGAAAAGAGTTGTAATATATATACGGCAAAATTAAAAGTATTTTAGTGAAATTACAATGTTTATACATATATATAGTTTTATTCTATGATAAATTATAATTATTATGATAAAATAATATCTCTAATAATTAATGTGAGGCACTATAATTTCCTGTTTATATATTGTACCTTTCTTATGATTTTGTTCATTTCTTCAAATAAAAAGTCTAGCGAGAGAACGGCTTTACTGGGAATTAAAATATTATAATCTTCTTATTTTAAATATTTCACACATAAAAGCAACTTAATCCATCCGAATAAAGTTTCTCAGCGGCATTTTTAATTATTTTAATATGTAAGATAGACAAAAGATTTCAGGAAAAGAGGAGAATGCGAGAATCTATTTCTTCTTCCGATGAAAATTGCAATTCTGATTGTGACAGGTCGTGGTATGATTACGACAGCTTAATTATCATTACGACGATTCGCGTTATACAAGCGGCGAATCAAGCAAACGAGATGTCAGAGATGTTCATAAATATACGATGGGAAACGCAATCGCACCGGTGATTATACGTGCTCGATCGAAATAGACACCGGTTTTAGCGCTTTTTCACTAGGAAGTATAGATCGTCCGCAATTGTTTTCTGGCTAACCATCGCCCTTTCGGCGAAAAGCTTTCACGTGAAAAATCGCCGGGATAATAAATCGACTCGCTTGTAAAATCATTACTTCGTTCACGCACCAGTGGCTTATTAAACAGATCGTGCCGCTTGCATCACCGCGACAAATAACGTG